AGAGTTTTCTTTCGCATTAACCCGCAAGAGACACAAGCACATAACACATCTGCCTACGACCGCCTGCAGAGAAGCCTACCAGAAATCAAGAGTGCCTGAGAAAGAAAGTCCCCTGGCAAACTACACTAGAGCTGAACTGCTGAGACACCAGCAGAATCTGTCACCGTGATAAAGGGGCAAAGCCTCCAGGAGAATCCACCTAGATCCCGCGTCTCCAGGGTTACCACCGCAACCACAGCCAGCTGGGTTGCATTCAAGGGTTTCCAGCTACAGCACAACTCACAACAGGCCGGTCTTAACACTCTACTCATGACTGAGTTGATGTCAAAATATAGTAATATTTAATTGCCAAATCTCATTCGTAGACGTAGTATCATTAGCTGTATAGCCATAGTGTATAGCCATAACATATTCTCTCCCAACATTGCCAACTCATCACACAGCTCATTTCATTATTACTTTCATCTTTATGATTATTACACCTTGCATTTACTCTGTAGATAGTAGTTTGGTTAATAAACTCCTTTATTTACAACCAGTTGTTGTCCTGTTGTGTTCTTTTGATTTAGGGACTGGAGATCTATTGAATCAAGAAGTCATGGCTTCTGATATGAGATTGATAAATTTATCTATGAGGTAATTCATGTATGTCCTCCCAGAGGACTGGTGTCCCTTTCAACGAGAGCAAATTCTAACTTATGGTGTTAATGCTATAGTAATAAAGTGAGTGAAGTAACGTCGGGCAAGTTTCAGTGTACTACTTGATAGAAAACAGCATTCACTGCTCGACAAGCCATTAGCCACTGTCATGGTGACAGGCAAACAGTGACAAGGCAGTGACATCCTAACTCAAGACCCGCCTTGATAAGAGGTCTGACAGATTCCATTTTCATTTTCATGTTGACCCCAAAGTAGTGTGGTGACATGTAAATGAAATTCAATAGACTGGGGGTGCTTTTTTGCATATTGCATTTGAATATTGTCCACTGTAGAGCAGCTTAAGATTTTGAAAATGAAATGTCAAATTCCATATTCATTTTCAGATTGTTATTACATTGCATTTTCATTTTCATTTTGACCCCAAAAAGCATGGTGACATGTAAATGAAAATTCTATGGATGTTTTGCAAATTGCATGTAAATATTATCCAATATAGACCAGGTTAAGACTTTGAAAATGAAATGTCAAATGCCGTTTTCATTTCCATTTTCAAATTGTTAACAAAACTGCATTTTCATTTTAATTGTGACCTGAATATCACCTTGCTGACATGTAAAATAAAGTAAAAAAAAATTTGAAAATGAAATGTCAAACAGCTTTTCTGTTTTCATTTTAATATGGTCCTAGAATGCCTATGCAAGTATGTGAATGTGAAAATGCTAATTGGTTCATTGCATTTTTATTTTTCAATTTTTACTGAAATAACACATACATATGTGGAAAATTAAAATGCTATTGTGGAATTACATTATCATTTGAATATGGTCCCCTATAGGCTTCCATATATATTTTATGTTCCCCGAGTGCAAATGCAAAAGAGGCCAAGGATGAACTTTGTAATGCCATCAGCCAGCTGCAGACAGCCCACCCTAATGCATTCTTCATTGTTGTGGGGGATTTTAACAAGGCAAGTTTAAAGGCTGTCTGACCTCAATTCTATCAGCATGTGAAATTTGCAGGGGAATAATACACTCGACCTGGTGTACACAAACATCAAAAATGCATACAGAGCTGCTCTCTTAGCCCACACTGGCAACTCTGACCACTTGACTGTCATGCTGACGCCTGCATACAAGCCCCAGGTGAAACAAGAGCCCCCAGCAGTGAAGGAGATCAGAGTTTGGCCACAGGTAATTCCAGCACTGCACGGATGCTTTGAATGCACTCTGTGGCACATGTTTATGGATGCAACTACTTGCCATACTTTAGCTTTAGCTACTACAGTTTGTGATGGGATTCATAAACACATGCATAGATGATATGACTGTTGTCAAAACCATTAATATACGTGCCAACAACAAGCCTACGCAGTACTTCTGGGAGGGATTCCAGACTGGCTACAAGCCCATGGTATGGGCAGGATATGATGACCCCTTCTTCCTTAATGCTTTTTACTCTCAAGTTCGAGAACACCAACAGGAGGGGGTACAAAAACTCCTACAATCACCAGCACACCACAGCCATCATCAAGGAGGCCCAACAGCACCTCCACCTCCTCTGCAGACTGAGGAACGTAGGCCTCTCCACTCCATTAAGTGTTGAGGTACAACCAGAGGTCATCCCTTGGTTGTAACACTTCATTTGGAAAAATGTGCTTTTACATAATATTAGGTTATTTTTTATTAGGAATACTATTCAATAACTTCTCTTTTATACACTTGAGTATATTATAACAAGAAAAGTTTGTTGTTATAACGTGATAAGTTTGTATGTTGTAATAATGTGAAAATATATTGTCATAACGTGAAAAACATCTTGTTATAACAATTAACTTTTAAGGTTATAATGTGAAACTGACCCCATTTTCTTGGTGTGGCAGCAATATGCTTCTGTAGTATTCAGACCCTTTGCTATGATACTTGAAATTTAGCTCAGGTGCATCTTGCTGTCCACCTGTGGTAAATTCAATTGATTGGACATGATTTGGAAAGGCACACACCTGTCGATATAAGATCTCAGAGATGACAGTGTATATCAGAGCAAAAACCAAGACATCAGGAGGGAGGAAGTGCCTGCAGAACCAAAAGAATTTTGCTGCACTGAAGGTTCCCTGGAGCACATTGACCTCCATAATTCTTAAATGGAAGAGGTGTGCAACCACAACCAACCACAGCTGGTACTGGCCAGGCCAAGCTGAGCAATTGGAGGAGAAGAGCCTTGATAACAGAGGTGACCAGGAACCAAATGGTCACTCTGGCTAAGCTCCAGAGATCCTGTGTGGAGATGGGAGAATCCTTTTTTTTTTTTAAATAAAATTGCAATAATTTTCTAAAATTCTTTTTCATCATCATTGGGTCAAAATGTTTCCTCCACCCCAAAATGATGATGGCAGCAGCTCAAGCTGCATCTGTGAGATTGTTACATATGTGAGCACAGTCCCAGAACATGCATGCATCACACTCTCAGTGAATGAATGATAATCACTCACATAGGGCCAGTAAAAATACATGGATTTTTTGATCTCTGTCTTTAAACAGTTTGGAAAATTCCAGCAGAGTACTTTAGAAGCTTCTCATAGGCTATTGACACAATCTGAGTTAATTGAAAGAGTCCCTGTTGAAGTATTTTAAGGCCTTCCTCAAAACCCAGTGCCTCTTTGCTTGACATCATGGGAAAATCAAAAGCAATGATGCAAGATGTGAGCAAACAAATTGTGGAACTCTACAAGTTTACTCCACTGGTTTATTCTTGGGAGATATTTAATTTATTATTATTTATTTTAAACACCTGAAAAAACCACATTCAACTTACAGAAAATACTATGCAAGTATAAACACCATGGGACCATACAGGTATCATACAACTCAGGAAGGTGACATGTTCTGTCAAAGGACAGTAAAGGACCTTGTGAGGATGCTGGAGGAATCAGGTACAAAAGTCTCAATATCCACATATAACCTTATATAACCTTGTTTTCCTGTGGATATAGGATATCAACATAACCTGAAGAAGAAGCCACTACCCTAAAACCATCATAGGACAAAGATTCTACTTTTTGGAGAAATGTGTCACAGCTGTAAGGGTTTGTCAGGGTTTGAGGGGTAAGGGCTGGACCCAAATGCAGCCAACACATGGGAGACGGTGCAGACAGGTTTATTAAACTAACACACGCACAGGGAACCACAGGGGATGACAACAGGTAACATGAAAGGACTGAAGACAAACCAGACTTGAACAACTTGAGGAAGAACCAGAAATCAACAGATGTGAACAGGCTAACGACAAACCCAGAGACAACAATGACAACAGTGACAAACCGACTCAGACAAAGGGGAGCACAAAGACTATATAGACAAGGGAGACAAGGGTGATTGAACACAGGTGAAACACATTAGGGCGGGGCAGACAATCACCACACAGACACAGGACCAAGACAGGAAGCAAAAACACTGACACACAAGGAAACCAATTACAAAATAAAGCGCAAAAAGTCAAAACAAAACTAACAAAAAGTGTCTGCCATAGCAAACCATGACAAAATGTCCTGTGGTCTGATGAAAAAAAATAGGACTGTTTGGCCATAATGACTATTGTATGTTTGGAGAGAAACATACAATGGTATGTTTTGCAAGCCATGGAACAAATTCCCAACTATGAACCTTGGTGGTGCTTTGCTGCAGAAGGGACTGGGGCATTTCACAAAATAGATAACATTATGAGGAAGGAAGATAATGTGGAAAAATTGAATATATATTTCAACACATTAGCCAGGAAGTTAAAGCTCAGTCACAAATGGGTCTTACCAATGGACAATGACCCCAAGCATACTTCCAAAGTTGTGGCAAAATGACTTATTAAGGTATAGCAGTGGCCATCACCAAGTCCTGACTTCAATCCCATTGAAAATTTGTGTGCAAAAGAAAAGGTGTGTGCAAGCAAGGAGGCCTACAAACCTGACTCAATTACACCAGTTCAGTCAGGAGGAATGGGCCAAAATTCCAACAACTTTTTGTGAGAAGCTTAGTGGAAGGCTACTCGAGATGTTTGACCAAAATTAAACAATTAAAGGCAATGCTACCAAATACTGACATGTATGTTAACTTCTGAACCACTGGGAATGTGACATTCATGTTCTTAAAATGTCATAACGTTCCTAAGACTGGTAATGTTTATTAGGATTAAATGTCAGGAATTGCACAAAACTGAGGTAAGGTGTATGTAAATGTCTGACTTCAACTGTATGAACGCGGTGTTAGAAAAGTACATCTTTGGAAGAGGAATAATATGACATCACACAATCACATATCTGAAGTGACTGATAAAGGCAATGGAAGTCATACCTTGAAACGATTGATCAAGTCGTATCTTGTGAGTAGTTCATAGAAGACAAATTTCAGAGCGTGGTCTCCACTAGCAACATTCAATCCAAACACATCAAAGGACCACATGTCTACATGCTAGAATAGATACAAACAAGTTTCATTAGCCAATGAATATCAACATACCCATTTATCTGTTCATTGTTAGTTAGAACATTTTTTCTTTCTTATTTTTTGAAGATATCATGGATGAGAAAAAAATAACTACGACATGTCATTTGAAATGTTGTCATGTAGAACTAAAGAAGAACTGGAAACAAGATGGTAGTGTGGGCATATTCTTTTTGTTTTGCTATTGTTAACCTGCACCTGCCTCCTGATGGTTGCCAATATCAATAAATAAATAAAATGCTGCTCTTTTATTTTAACCTCTTACGTTTTCTGGTTGCAATGCATCTTTGCTGCTTTGTTCTTTCTCACCAGTTCATACTGTGAAGGAGATTTATCTCTCTCCAGTGTTCCTTTTTCTCTTAAACCACACTAAACACAAAATCTTCACATTTTTAGATATTGTTTAGCTTCTATTATGACTGTTTGTGTCTACATGGAGCCACTGCTATCATCTTTAGCTAGGGTACCCAGGGTCTTATAGATAAGGGGGTACAAGGAAAGCATATTGTTCAAATCTAGTTGTTGTCAAGGATGAGCACAGTAAGAGAAAGGACAAGACAAATGTAATATTAACTAGGTAAGAACATGTGACAATGCAGATTTTGGTGTCCAATAGCATCTTCACACAATATGGAGTAAGACCTGGGATTATATACCCGTAGTCAGACAAGACACTCTCAGAATTTAATGTGGTACTACTCTGACTCATATGCCGTATACTGCTTATCATTTTCTCCTTGGCGCCAAGCTTACAATAAATACTTCTGCCTGAGACATCTGAACTTCTGGTCATCATGTTTTCTCCAGCTCCCTGACAACAACTAGATTTAAACAATATGCTTTCCTTGTACCTCCTTAACTATATGGCCCAGGGTGTCCTAGCTACAGATGATAGCAGTGGCTCCATCCAGACATAAACAGTCAAAATAGAAGTTAAACAATGTCTAACTGTGTGAAGGTTGTTATGGCCTGAACTCTTGGAGTGTTAGTGAGGTTTAGGAAAACAAGAGGAACACTGGAGAGGGAAGAAAGAAGAACAAGGTGCCCCAAATGAACTTGCACATATATGTGGTATGGTCTTGTTATTCAAGTGCAGTTATTGTGACTTAATGTGGGTCAGTAAAATTACACCTTCTGGCCTTTACCAATCCACAATATCCATTCAATCCCTGGTATATCCCCTAATTAATGTTTGATAAAAACATTAATCACGTTCCACACCTCAACTTCTTTTCATTCTAGACCTTCACTCAGCGCTCAATTCAATGAGATAAGATTTTTGAAATTTAGCATGTGCATGGCACAAAATGAAAATAATGCATGTCTGTGAATTTGCATATTGTGAAAGGGTGAAGGAGATCTGGGCCCGTATTCACAAAGAATTTTATCTTACCACTAGAGTACTCGTAAGTCACACTAAAAGTTTTCCTAAAAGTCCTATTTACAAAGCTGCTGAGACCAACTTTTACTAAGGAAAAGTGAAAACCACTAAGCCTAGAGTGCACCTCCATTGCTATGGCCAATGTCAGTTTTCATGGACAAGCTTGCTTGCAATAACCACAGTGATTGGTTGATGAAAGACAAACCAATACAAATTATATAATAACAGATTAGGTGCTGTTTACAAAAGTAGTGCATTCCCAAAATGCATCTGCTTAATAAGGTTTGTGCCAAGAAGGAGAATTTAATTTTACAATAAGAACTTACACTTAATTCACTCAATGGAAAAAATAAAAAATAAAAAGATAATCCATCATGGACTACCTAACTAAACCTAACTGGCAGCCTATTAGCCACCTGTTGTACCTGCAACTGTTGTAATGTAGCTGTGGTCCCTGCTGTGGGTTAAAGTGTGAGAAGATATCCACTGTTCCCCACCAGGTAACATCCAGCTGGAATATGATGCCTTTCAAACAGCTGCCTCAGGGCACTCTCCATTAAGATTAGGGCTGCACCTAACGATTATTTGTGTATCGATTAATCTATCGCTTAATCAAAAAAATTATGAATAGATTAATCGACTAATCTATTATTTTTTTATTACTCGATTAATATAATAACGAATTCACCCAAAATGATTTTTAAAAATTTGTCATTTATATTTCAGTATTTTTGTTCTTTAATACCTCTGTGTTTTTCCTAATAAAATTGTCATTTGTAACAGTTTCACCAACTGCTACACATATTGAGAATCAGCATAACCTTAGCTAATAATAAATGTCACTCGTCAGTATATATAATAGAGGAAAATAGCCCATAAAACAAAAAACAAAAAATGAGAGGTGATTTGAAGTTTCTATTTTTATCTGTTCATGAGATATGATCATTCTGTGGAGCAGTATTTATGGGCGTTTTTTGTCTGGTCCTTGAAAAATCAGTTCCAAATTCTCCATTGCACTAAATATGTACTGTCACATCCTTCTGTATTTATTCTGTCACTTCAGTAAACTCCGAAAAACTTCTCCTCACTTTGATATCAGAGTAAAACAGCACTGCTCTCATTCAGTCTAGGTTTACAGCCAAGCCAGGCCAAGCCTCTGAATCAGATACTCTGATTTGCTGTGACCTCACCCACTGGAGTCAAAAGGAATGTCTGATTCAGTCATGTGACGCTAAACTGGCAAAGAATGCAGATCAGATTCGTTCAATAAACACAAAGACAGAAAGCAGCAGTGTGCCAGAAAAACTACTCCAAATATTTAGAAACTTTCAATGTTAGTGTTTCAATCTAAGTCAGTGACGACATACTGACGATCAGGGGCTTGATTGAAAGCGCCGATTGTCTAGTTTAAGGAGAAAAAACGGCACGTCTCTAGTACAAACAGTCGCAGAGCAATGACACTCTACAGACAACGTGAAATTTGGAAGCGTTTATGCTCCCATGGGCTTAAGAGGGTTAAAACAAACAAATATGACAATCAAAGTATGCACTGCAGGGCATTAATCCCCAACAAAAAATAGCCCAGTCTTTACTGGTAATCTGTGTTTCACAGTCTGATATAAAGTCTCTCCAAAATAAAGCTCCACTCCTAGTGCTTGAGCATGGTGGTGGTACTACTGTGATAAGCTATTTCTAATTTGAAGAGTTTACAGAGCACCATGTTGTTCGGACCCTGCTTAAAATACTCCCACGCTTTAGATGATCATGAGCGATGTTTTTATGCTTCAGCTTGCTCTTCGTCGGAGTCCATGCTCTGACTAGGTGCAGCCACCTTACTTCCTACATCTTACTTCTAATGTATTTACATAATCTATTACGTCAATTACGTCAATTACGTCAATTACGTCAATTACGTCAATTATGTCAACGCGTCGCCCCAGCACTAAGTGGTTTTGTGAATAGCTCTTAGTCAGAAAATTAGGAGTCCTAAAGTTAGGACTGACACGCCCATTATTTTAAGGAGTTTCTCCTAATGTTAGGAGTTACTTTTAGCCTTAAGATACTTTATGAATACGGGCCCTGAAATATTTTCTCATGCCATTTGTATATTAATCTGTTTCAAGCTTTTCACCATACATAGAAAACGGAAACACAAATACCTTGAGCTCACTGATGACGTTTGGGGAATAACTGAAACCAGCCATGTTGGAGGTTCGTCTGTACATCCTGTCACAACAGATAACACATACAAAGACACATACCACAACACAATGCCAAACCAAGCCAACACACACTGAATGCTTCACTGGCTATTATAGTAACAATTAGAATTTCTTTCAGAGACTGTCCAGAGGCAACCAATATTAGGTTGTGAAATGGAACTAGACTGTTTATTCTGAGCTCATGATGTACTTGTATGAAAGACTAAAAATGACAAGTATAAATAAACAAGGAAATAAATACATAAATAAATGCATGCAATGTGTTTTTACATTTGTTTATTTATTTATGCATTTCTAAATTCATTTATTTTTGTATTTATTTATTTCACCTCAGTCTAAAGCCGGACTGGTTATAGCTGTGTGATCGATTGGATGGATCTGCTACTACTGCCTTGACTACACAGGAGCCTTGCTTTTCTGCATTGCCAATTTTGCAACTTTGACAGTAGATTTAGTGACTTTTTTAATTCAGTACCTAACAACAAATCTAATGACTTTTTGGACAAACCTTGGCTACTTTCCATAAAGAAGAAGTACCTCTATCTGCATCTACTGTGCAGAGAGGGATGCAGAGAGGCAGAGCAGCACATTCAGTCCACACAGAAGCTGCCAGAGCCATTCAATTGTCTCAATAAGCATAGTATTCTGAAAATATGTATTGTAGTATTATTCATTAATTTCGTACTATTTATAAAAGAACAATTATTGAGTTTTGTTTTGCTTTGAACATAGGCCAACTTTGAGTCAAAAAAGCAAAATCTGCTCATGATGAAGGCAAATATATTATAAGACCATGAAAACTAACATAATAACTCCCAAAATCATTTGTTTGTATTTTCTTAAGCGTTAAAATGAGCAAATATTGTTGCATCTGTTGTGATATGGGAAAAAATAGCCGCATACATTTACTATTTTGAACTAAAAATGTTGAAAAATATTGTTGTGCTTTCAACTCTATTTGAAAATGTCAGTCCTGCTCCATTGTTCACCTGAGCGTCTGTCTCTGACCTGCCAGCTCCGTCTATATCCCGGTAAGCCCATCTGCCTTCTATTCCTGACTCTGAGTTTTTGCTCTCTGTCCTGAGGTTCTATTTGCCTGTTTTGCCCGCCGATTCTGACCTGCTGGCTTCCCTGCTCCGACTACTCATCTGCTTGCCTCCTTCTGGTTTGTCTGCCTGGACTCATTGCTTGTGTGGTTCTGGATCTGTTACCTCCCTGACTACGTCTCCAGCCTGCCCCCAACAGCACTGTTACCTTGAACTAAACTGTAACTTTCTTCTTCTGCTCTGCTGTGTGTTTGCTACGTTTGGCAATAAAGTCCATTAAAAACTGAGCCAGTCTGTCTGTGTGTGTAATTGGGTCATGCGCTACCGGTTAGAGAAAATGTTGTATTAATCTGTTATAACTCATTAAGATTTAACTGAATAATTACATAGTACAGGATAATGTGAAAACCATGTGAACTTATAGTAATGCAAACTGGCTGATGAGATAAGGCCAATAATAAGGGCTTATAAACATTCATTATATGACCATCAGACTATAGCTTCCAGACATCAAGAGGACTGTTACATAAAGACACTATACACAACCCAACAAAACTAAACTTAAGTATACCAAATAACCATACCTCTCCACAAAGATGCCAGCCTGCACAGCATGGACAATGCTGCGGAAGCGTGGTTTGTCTTCATTGCGGCGCAGCATCAGGCCCCTTTGCCGGGTAAAAGTGGAAGCCAGCCAGTCACGAACCTCTGAGGGCACAGAGTCTGACTGGATGTCCCTCAGCTCATCCTCTGTGTCCACTAGCCGCCTGTGGCAGAGACAGATTCACAGAAACCCAAAGGTCATGCACCGCAATTTCTGCAGGCCACTTTGTCTATGAACATAGAAATGATTATGAGACTGTTCCACTGTTTATTTACTTGTATGGTTCATTCATCAGACTGTGATGATTGATGATTATTTTTATCAGGAAAGTAGATGGTTTCTATATTTGTATCTGTGAAATCTTTAATAAGTAATTAAAAAGAAAAACAAACAGGATGCTGTGGTAGTAAAGATACATAATAAATAACATAATACATTTGTAATTAAACATTAACTATTCGGTTTGTTCAAAAATTAAGCACAATTTCAATTAGATATAATTTATTAGATTAAATAGCATTTATTGTGGTTTTTAGAAACACCTACTGTAGCAGAAACTACCACAGAGGTGATTTGGAATACCTTGGCAGGTGACGAAGCATTTGTTTTGGTCTGAGATGAAATAACAGTCTTTCCATCAATGCAATTTTGCAGACCTCATCTTTATATAATTTTTTTATTGTAGCATTTATTTATCTATTTCATTACTTACTTCATAACCATATTTATTTAAATCAATTTGAATGTGGTGGGGAACTCTGCTTGTTTTAACATCAACACACAAACTAAAGCCTAGACAGACATAAATCACTTATCCACAGTGACAATGATAAAAATTCACAAAAGCTACACACTCTCTGTACATGGATACTGCCTGCCATTGCCAATTGATTTGCTGACTCAAGTCCGTCTTGTCCGAGCAGCACTTTTCTTCAGACTGCCGCTGCATAACCTCATCATATTCTGTATGATTTAACATGGTTTGTGGTGTTGCCACAATACCTCACGGCCCTTCCATACACATCACATACAGCATCATTGCTGTTCTGAAAACTGAAAAAGTTCTAAACAAGACTAGATTTACAGTGAGCCATCGTCAATGTCAACACTCACCATATGACTATACAGACAGAGGGAGAAGTAGTTCTTATCAAGTGGGTATTATTTAGACTAGATCCTAGTGTTGGCATAGTTACTTTCTACTGTATCCCTGATGATGATCTGATCGTTGAGAACTGATCCTAGAAACTGAAACATTTGGGATTGAAAGTATCAATATTACAAGATTGATCCACACACCACTACTGGGCAGAGGGTAACAAAGTAGCAAGAGGGACGGGAGGAGCACAGTGGTTTAGTGGTGAGCTTCATTGTGGCATTAAGTTAAATTCGGTAGGATTTTTACTTGTAATGAGAAATTGTCATAACCAAAGAGTATTCAAGAGCAATACTTTAAAATTCAACATTTTTTGTAAAACAAAAGAGAACTTTTTTCTGACACAGTACACAGTTTATGTATGAATTAATAAGAATGGAACTGAGCTGAACGCTCCTTGCCTGGTTTCCTCAATGTATAGATTTTCAAGGAATGACGCAGCATACTCCAGGTTCTTCTTCAGGTCCACCACAGATGCCTCCCCCCTCTCCAGTTGCTTTACAAGACATCGCAACCTGCAACACATAGCCACCACACCAACATCAGCATCACCACTAAATTTAAACAATGCCACATACTTGATTTGCAGTGAAGAATCAGAAGTCAGGGAAAAAATGACATACTGTGCTTTCAGAAAGTGTTGAGACCCATTAAATTTGCATTTTGTCATTGTGGGGTATTGAGTGTAAATTGTTCAGTGGGAAAACTTTTTTTTTTTTTTTTTTTTTTTTTAAACGTGAAAAAATTGAAGGTATCACTTTCCGAATGCACTGTATACCAGACATACAGCTTGTTACAAGCATTACAACTGTTACTTACACTGATATAATGGCTTCAACCTTCATCCAGAATTTGAAGAGTCTCATGCTTGAGTACCTAAGAATACCTTTTATTATAATCTCTGTCATCATTACAGATATTATTGAATCCTTCTTATCTACCCCTCTGGGTACTCCGGCTTTCTCCCAGTCCAAAGACATGTACCTTGGGGTAATTGGTGACTCTAAATTTCACAAAGTTGTGAATGTGACCATGACTGGTTGTTTGTCTCTATATGTCAAAAACTTTAACAGCTACAAGACTGAAGCTTGAACAGCTTCCCGACACTACAGTGCTTAAACAGTGTCAAATTGAAACCTATGTATTTCACTCACTGAGTACATCCTTCCTTTCCATTTTAGACACTCCCTGAATTCTCTATCACCACCACTACATCAGCTTTGCACATTAGATCTAGGTACAGTATTTCATAATCTTAAAAGCCGAGTTCCATGTTATTTGCTTAGTAATTTTATGCTGCCAAAGTGTTGGTCTTTCTTCTAACACCACTCTCAGGACAAACTGTTTTGCACACAAGATGCATGATATTTGATAGCAACAATCCTTCAGCCACTTGAATGCATGTTTTTGTTAGTGAAAGCTTGTGTGATGTTAGATTTGTGCAAAAAAACATTTCAAATTCATGGGGAAAATGTGAGTTTGCACAGAGTTATAAGAATGTATTTATTTACTTTTCTGTACTCACAATGCTAATTTTCTGCAAGTAAGACCTGCTAACCACCCACTCTTAAGAATTGTTACTGTGAGCATTTCAGCATGCTGATTGTTGCCACCATATTCAAATGTGCAAGACTAGCTTGTAAACAAATGCAAGTAAATGGAGGAGCTACACTTTTTCTGGATTAAAAGCACTATAATGTTAATGTTTCCCAACCAATTTCAATGAGTCGTTTTTATATTCAAGGATTTATGTTCAATGTGGAGTAAAAATAAGTTGTTGTTTTTCTACTTATAATCATGATAGTTCACAATATAATCACTATTTTCTATAAAAAGGAGTGTGTCAGTCAGTCTGTTTTCTATATTTTTATAGCAGTGAAGGAATAAAACAGACAAGAGAGAGAAAAAAAATTATAACATGAGATAGGCCTCAAGTTAAATGTAGTATAAAGTGAGATGTTATAGTAGTACATCAATATACTACATTAGTAGTACTACTACTACTACTTAATAGTATGGCAGTATATCATATTATTATGTGCCTGCTGTACTTGAAGTACAGAAGGCATATATTTTAATCCGTCAAATTTCATATTGTGCAATCCAAATCTTTATCAGTTTAATTAATGCAGCAATCACACAATTGATATCCTCGTAGCCATTTTTTTCTTCCGTAAATTTTTTGACATGCTACCGTCTTACACATTTGAAGATAGAAACATGATTCCAAAGCTAAAATGTGAAGCATGCTTAGGCAATAAAGGCTATGACTTTCGGTGCTGATATCTGTAGCACCTGATTCTATATGAATTGTTTCATGATTTTGAATGGTGGTTGGGAAATGAGCAAAAAAATATGAAAAATTATATTGATGATGATAGATGATAGATGATAAAAGATGATATCTCAAAACTTATAACAGCTACACACATACATACTATAACATCTCTTACAATTAATGAGTTATTCATTTTTTACTGAGGAGTGCACAAAATCACTAATATCTATGTTAAGGCTACAGAACTGAAACTTGGCATACTGCACATAGTCAAAAACTTTTGTGATGGCACCGCCATGCGGACGGTTATTGATATTTTTTATATTGATCATGATCAAACATGAACTACAAGGTGTGCAAGAAAAAAATCTTTGACCTGTGGATCCTATGCGCTATCACATTTAATAGCTGAAAGAGAGGTGCAGCAAGTTTCTGCCAGGTGCAAGCTAGCTTTCAGAACTGAGAGCTTGCTGCTGAAGCTGCAAGTAAGTTGCAGGAGCTGCAAGAAAGCAGCACGCTTCAGGTGGCTTTCAGCAATCCTTTTCTATTAAAATGCACTAGTTAATGTGATTGCTGCAACACTACAGTGCTTAAACAGAGTCAAAATGGTAGCAATAGCTCCACCATCTGGTGAGAAATCAGGTGACAAATAATGCAAAGTGTTTTGGTTGATATCTCAACACCTGTGAAACCTAGAAGAACAACTCTGTTGTGTAAGGATTCAATGGATGATGCTGAAGAGATTGCCGTAGGCCATTGTTTGAATTTTTTTCTGCCATTTTGAATTATATGAAAAACATACTTTTGACTCCCTATCCTACATTTTTTATCCAAGTTTCACCAAACTTGGTACATATCGTGTTTGGACAACTATGAACGAAGCATGTATCTTAGATTTTAGATATCATGTATCTTTTTCCATGATTGCCTAACAAATTTCTGTGGGCATGGTCAAATCAATTCAGTCTGCTACAGCTCTTGAATGCTTCATCCAACTATAACCAAATTTGGTCCAGCCATTCAGCCCGATGCCCTCAATAAGACTACTAAATTTTGTGTATTTCATCACCAGGGGGTGTTATGATGCTAAAACAGTTTTTGCTTAATAGAATTAACTACCAGACTGAGACTGAGTGTTGGCATTTGAGGAGGAGTAAATCCTTTATGTACGAAAGGGATGTAGGCCGTTATCGATTACTCTGGGTGCGTGACGGTGATCGGAGGTAGATACGCGCGGCACATTGGGAGTGAGCACGCGCGAGCCTGAAGACGGCAGAAAGTGCAGAGCGGAGAGAGAGCGGAGGCTGCCAGTCAGAGACTAATTGGTTTCACCGTAATTGTGTGTGTGTGTCCGTGAGACCTGTAAGTCATATTATTTATGTTGCTAGTTCATTATCCTTTGTTTTCATATGTTGATTATTATAGCCACCTAGCTTGGAGCTGCTTGCTAACTTAAAAGCATATGGTTGTTAATTGGTCAGCTAGAAGTGGATGTGTAGCTACGTATTTGATCTGTATTTAAATTAGTGAGTGTGCTGTTTATGCTAACTAGTTACACTGCATATAATATACAGAAAGGTGTGTGTTTATTACAAATATTAAAGGTGCACATGTCAATATATGTTCGTGTATGTAATGTGGGCCAGATAATATGTTTTTCCTTTTTTTCTGGACAGAACCATTCACACAAAGCTGTGCCCATGTTCTGTACTGTTGCTTGAGCTTATTAAACAGTCAAACTAAAGAAGAGTTGTCAGCATCTGTGTTTTGACAGACACACCTGGGGCGAAGCTAGAGATCAGGATCAACCAAACAACAATTTATACAGTCCTTTATTACAACCCTCAGTAACATTGAGGTCCTTTGAGCCGGATATCTGACCTTTACTCCAGGATAAGGATGCAACAGTACAGCAGTGGAGCCCGTCCTAAGAGGGATAGACATCCACCACGTCATCTAGAGGATTACAAACTGGACTATCCAAGGGGTAAACCACGAAATACACATTACTCAAGCACAGTACCATACGAACATGGGCATGAAGAGGATAAGTATCATCACCTAGAGGGAGCAGCCAAGATGACCTCTCTCACTCCTCCTAACCTCTCACCTTATCGCCTCCGAGGTAAGAGAGACCAGAAAGAGCAGTATAGCTCCTTTGGCTTCTATCAGGAGCTGGAGATGATAAGGGAGGAGAACACACGGCTTCGTGAAGCTCAGTTAGCCATTCATAGGGATTTCGGGCAGCTTCACTCACTCAGAAAGGACATGAGGTCGCTCGTTGACTCAATACACAGCCTCCAGGAAGCACAGGCAGCAACAGTTAGCCACGCCCCCATAAGGTCCTTCGATCTACAGCCAGGTTCAGGCGAGTGGCCTGACTATGTACCCCCACCTGCTGAAGCTCCGCCCTCAGCAGGAGAACAATATGAAAAAGAGAAATGGCCAGAACCCCCACTACCATGGCCGGAGCCCAAAGAGCAGCCACAGAGGAATAAGGTGGCAGACCTCCTGGACCAGGTGATGCACAAGCTCCAGGAAATCAGGTTCAATACCCCCTCCGTTGCTAAGACCAGCAGCGGTGAGTGCTCCCCCTCCAGATAGGGGTCGTCTATACCAGGTGGGTCTGTTCCCTAAACACCTGGGTTATGGAGATCCTCAGCCACATTCTCCACAGTCCAGCTCCACACAAATCCAGCACCAGCCAGGCCTGCAGGCCGATACACCAGCAGCACAATGGGCCCCTCCTCAACCAGCGCTCCCTAGGCAAGGTGCACCTGCACCTCAGCTAAGGCCGGCAGAGCCTTCCAACGGACAGTCCTACAGCGACCCCCCTCGAGCAGAGTCATCTTACAGGGGACCCCCGCCCACTTTACCGGACTTCAGCCAGCGAGACCCAAGTCAGTTCGCTTAATTGAAGATTGCTCTAGAGAACCTGTTACCAGCTGATGCAACAGAGCTCTATAAATATCAGATCTTAACAGACCACCTAAAGCTGGAAGAGGCGTGCCTAGTGGCGGATTCATACCTCCATTCCCCCACCCCGTATTCAGACACCATGGCTGCTCTGAATGAGAAGTTTGGGCAGCCGTATCAGGTCGCATTAAAGAGGATAGACAGTGTTATGACCTCACCTGATGTCTGTCGTGTGTAAATCGTATTACGTCTGTCTTCCATGGGGCTAAGGATGCAGTGGGAATAAGATCAGATAAGAGGAGGCCTAAAGCAAAGGCATAT